TGAATTAAAATGTTCATGTAAGGAGAGAAAATTTGTTTAATTAATTTTTCGCGCAAGTAGGCGTGAGAAGAAACACATAAAAAATTTAACGCGAAAATCATATGTTTTTATCACGTATTATAAAATTAAAAGAGATATAAATTTATACGTAAATTAACATACAGTTTTGTCTATATGTCTATGTTTTTATATATTTGTATTTATTTCTGTGAGCATAAATTTATATTTTTTTATTTTATATTATTTTTATTTTATTTTTTTATTTTATATTTTTGAATTATATGAATTATATACACACAACAAAAAATAATAAAAAGTATTACATTGAAAAATTTATTTAAATATGCGAGAAGAAATGGCGGAAGAAAATATTGCACAACGCCTATTACCTTGGAAAATTATTACCTTCGTTTAATTTTATACTGTAAATGCGAAACGCGTACACGTTTATTACCGGTCCCAAAACACCTAGCCATCGTATAAAAACGTATTGTTATTCAATGATCCGTGCGCCAATCACGCGATGGACTTATGGTTACGATTATCCGAAGCCCCGTGAATCGTGACGCGAAATTCAATGCAAGAATTCAACAAGACCACCTAGCAAGTATTGCTAGATATTGTCGATAACGCGAGCACGTGGGCAATTTTAAAAATATGTTGCGTAATTACATAATACTTATTTCACCACGATTGTCATGCTATACATATAAATGTCTTCCTGATTGCCACGTGTTACTTGACGTAAAAACACTTGTGCATATTTTTTCCATAACAATTGTTTAAAATTGAAAAATGTTAAAATTTTTCAATGCAACTGTCTAAAATTGTTGAGTTTAATTTAACAGTATTCATTTAATTAACACATATAGTACATTGGATATCTGATGCTTACTTTGTAGATCATGCTGTGGAAAATACGCATACTATTTGGTATCATAAATATCATTTATGCAACAGCACATCGGATCTTGTTGTATTTTAGCAAGAAACCATCAAGTATACCACCAATAACTAATTCCTTATACATGTTAAGTGCCTCAACGCTCGCTAGGAAAATCAGGCAGGGAGAGGTGAGGCAATCGCACATTCTTACAACAATATTTCTTTGCCTTTATTTTTCTTTTGTTTTGCACATATTACGTTATTACGCACGCAATATGATTGTCACGATCAATTTTACCTCAATTAAATATAGTTTGCTATACTTTGTGATATGTACGTAATGTATGTAAGAGATTATATTGATATTAAAAAAAAAAAAAAAAAAATAGATTACGAGCTACGAAGTTGTGCAAGCGTACATAACTCGCATTAAAGAAGTGAATCCCTTCCTAAATGCCGTCGTCGAAGATAGATTCAGCGCCGCAATAATCGAGGCGAAGAACTGCGACGAACAATTAAAAGCGGGCAAATTCGATGTCGCGATCTTAGAAAAGGAAAAACCGCTTTATGGTGTTCCACTTACCGTCAAGGAATGCTGCGCTGTAAAAGGTATGAATAATTTCTACGTGAGAAAACATGTTTGCTAAGAATTTAGTCAAGTACAAATTTAGAAAGTAATTTTATTGGGCCATTAAAATTATTATGTTTCTCTTATTATAGGACATTTAAATATGATGATAATACTGCAACATTTTTTTATATTCTAGCAACCAGTTTGAACATAATTATTTCTACATAGTTATTTTGAATCAACAAAATTATTTCTCAGATTTCAGCAAAATAATTTTTTTCCACGTGCGATAATTTTTTTTTTTTTGCATTTTTGTATAATTTAAAAAAAGTAATCTAAAGAAATAAATTTAAAAAAGTACGGGTACAACCGTTTAAAATATATAAATGTTATCTTATCTGAGAGAACGTTTATCTCTCTCTCTCTTCATAAGGAACGTTTTGTTTAAGAAAATTTAAGCAGAAATGAATAAAAATTCAAATGTAGATTGTAATTGCAGGTTGCAGTCATTCTGGCTGCACGTTGCCTCGCAAAGGAATGAAGGCCGACTACGATGCCACGGTTATCGAGTTGCTACGAAATGCCGGCGCGATACCGTTGTGTGTTACAAATACCCCGGAGTTGTCCACCGGCATCGAGAGCACAAATCTGCTGATCGGCCGCACTTGTAATCCTTACGACACCAGATATTCAGCCGGTGGCTCGTCTGGTGGCGAGGTAATCCAGCTCCGATCATTAAATATATCCGTTTTGAAACTCCCGAGAGGAGGCATTGATGTCTACACTTACAAAAAATAGAGAGCAAGTCGAAAGGGGGTAACGCGAGGTGTGAATTTTTATGCAATTTACATATGCTACTTTCTGCGGCAATTGCGCCAACTGCCAATTAGAATTATGAACGTTTATCGAACAGATTATTGCCTTATCGAAAATTACGTTATTCCAGGCGATAATTTGAGTTCGAAACGTGGAAATTTCACGTTTTCTTACGCGAGCAAAAGGTTTCTTACATCGTTACTTATTACTTATTGACAACTTTCGCCCAGAGAGCACGTTTCTCGAAGAAACGCAAGACGCACCGCCGCACGATATCATTATTTTCGTCTGAAACACGTTAGTTAGATAAGCCGCACGTAATCCCCCGTTTGAGGAAACAATTTGAAACGCGTTCTGAAACAAGAGGGAAAACGTAACGAAACGTAACTCCCGTTTCAGGGTGCGCTGCTCGGAGCGGGTGCCTCCGTGATCGGACTCGGCTCGGACATGGCTGGCTCTATAAGACTACCGGCATTTCTTAACGGCGTTTTTGGACATAAGCCCACGGCCGGTAAATGGATTTTCTTTAATACAAAAATAATCTCCAACTGTAACTCTAGTCTTGAATTCTCCAATTGAATCTTATTTATCGTTACTCTTATATTATATTTCATCAAGAAATTTTATCCATTCAATCAACCGACTAGAGAAAGAAGATTAAAGAAGTAATATAATAATAATAATAATAATAATAAT